CCACCAAAGGAAAGAAAAGAAAAAGAAAATATTGTTAATTTTTTTGGTTTTTCCTCCCTTCACCGCTAATACAGTTAAAGAAGAATTTAAAAATATTCGCGTAAATACCCAAGAGAACTTAACGGCGAACAATTTTTATGTTCTTGAAGAAACAATTGAACTTAAAAATGATAGTATTATTGGGTCAAATGTTTATTTGAATTTTTGTAAAAGAGAATATTACGCTGTAACGAGTAATTCATGCCCACGGGAAAACCCAGGACAATGGCTCCAGATATAGAACTATTTTCCACTTTATCAAGATAAACGCCCCATTACTTATGTCAAATTACATCAACAACAGTTTAATTATGCACTAATCTGTATTATCACAATTAGTGATATTTATTTGTTAATCAGACGATTTCTCAGAAAATATTCTACATGACTGCTGTTGTGAACTGGTAAGGTTTGGTAGTACGCACATGTTGTAATAAATTGTGTAGTGGAATTGGTTGACATGTCAATCACACATCTTAGATTACACTAACTGAAACCCTTCAACGGCATGCTCATTATGAATTTCGATGAACTTATAGTCATTTTAATTATCGTCCAGTGAATTAACACTGTTATATGTTTTCTATATACTCTTTACAATGAGAGAAAATAAGGTAGATTGAATCGGAAAAGTTATGTTGTTAATGAGCTATGTACTCTTCCTCTTCACAGTTTTTATTGTAAGTTCATTGTGACGATTTGATACGAGATTCTTCTTTTTGCTTGTAAAAGGGCCGTAATGATTTTTTTTAGATACTTCTGATAAAATGGAGATTTAGTGTTTATCGTATATCATCCATATTCTAAGTTCTTTACGGTTTGAAATATAAATTGCGTTTGTACCTGAAAGATCTGTGATTAAGATTTTTAAGCAGTTCGATCAATTATTTTAGATTCCAGGGAAGATGATTTTTTACATCGGCACATTGCCAATAGAACGTTCAACCTTTTTAATAAAGAAGACTCCATCCTAGATTTCCTTACTCTTCTGTCCGTCCTTCATAGTTATTATTCTTTAGCAATGGCAAATATGGCTTTTTTTTCTGGTATTATTCTATTATTTCTATAATTAGTCATGTCAGATATTCTGGTTATATGTTATAAGGTCGTATCATCTGTTGTCCTTGTTCTCAAATTCGTTTGGAGAGCATGTCAGTGTTATGGTCTCTGTTCAGTATGAGTCCTCACTAAAAAGCTTCTCTGGGGGAGTCTAAGCGAAGAAAAAAGGTTTCCCATAAATCCTATCTTACCTAATAAGTAGGGCCGAAGGTTTCGCGGAAAGGATAAGAGTCCAAGTTCGTTCTCATCAGCCTCGATCCTCCTCTTCTTTTCTTTTACGTGGACATAAAGAGTCTCGTTCCATTTTGGGATATTGACGCTAGGAAGGCTAACAATTCTTATAATCAATATTCCCCGGTGGAAAACTTCGCACGCTTGATTTATTGTGTAAGATCTGCAAATTAACCTTAAGTTAAGGGTTTTTTTCAGGCTAGCTCCAATTA